CTCCCACCCTTTTTTTATGCCTTTTTTGGTTAAGGTTTCAAGTGCTCAGTAGCCACATCTGGCTAATGGCTGGCATATCGGATGGCACAGCTCTCTCTACTGTAACTTATTTTTTTCAGCCTTAGCGTATTGTGGACATCTGTCTATGTCACTCTGTGTAGATCTCCCCCTTTGTTTGTAATAGCCACATGGAATATATCATCCACTAGGGTGCTTTGGGCTGCAAGTGAGTGCAGAGCTGGGGCTTGAACCCCAGTGTCCTGCTGGAGACTGGATTGTCTGTAGTGAGCAAAGGCTGGCTTCCAGGAGACTTCACTCGTGGTCCTGGTTCTCCCCAGACCACAACAAGCAGGTCCCTCCTCCTGATGCCCCTCGGGGGGACTATGAAGGCAGTGGCCCAGCCCGTCAGGTGTTGTCAGGTTCCTTGGCCCCATGTTGGGTATCCTGCATGCTATCCCATACCCTTCCATGCTCTCTGGGGGTTCCCCCACTGCAAAATGAGCCTGTGGGTCTCAGCGACCCCAGGGTCACAACTGAGTTCAGAGTCTCCAGACTGACTCTGGGCAGTACCTAGTTTCCCACTGCTAAGCCCTGAGCCCATCTTACAGACCCTGGCGACAGGGTAGGAGTCCAGAAGGTAGGGCTGGTGGGTGGGACACTCTGCCCTGTTAACCCCCTGCTCAACCTGTTTCTGCAGGCCTTGCTGACTACAGACCCAGGGATGGAGAGACCATCGAGCTGAGGCTGGTTAGCTGGTAGCCCCCTGGGCTCAGCCCCACAGCCGCCTCCTACACCTCCTGGGCTTCTGCCCTCCCTCCAGATATCCCTGTATTAGGCACATGCCTGACCCTGCTGCCTCCTCTTGCGCCCTTGTCCCCAGATCACCCCAGCCACCACCCCTGCGGGGGTCCTAAGCCACCACTCACCCTTGAGCTGGGAGCCCACACCTCCCCCGGGAGATCTGTCTGCCTGGGTCTGGCGTCCTGTGAAGGCTGCTCAGAGGCTGGAGGGCACAAGCATCTCAGACACCTCGGCACAAGGAGGTGAAGGCCGCTGCCGCCAGCGTTGTGAGTACGGCTCGCTCTGGAACTGGGGTCCTGCGAGGAGAGTTCTGCGGCCCTGACCCCAGCTCCCCACTCTGCCATCAAAGCAGCCCCAGAGCTGTTCTAAGTGGTGTAGCAGCCGGAGAGAGCTCTGCAGGGCTGCTTTCATCCGGCCACTAAAATGATTAAAGAGTTGATTGAGTCCCAGCATCCTGAGCCTCATGTTTGGAACCAATGCAGGGACTAGAGCAGAAAAGGGGGAGATACCCCTCAGGGAGCAGGAGCAGGGGGAGCGTTCTCTGGGATACTGGGGGGACCGATGTGGCGGTTGTGACGTTGATTATTGTCTAGGGAGCATGTACATGCTAGACAATTTCTTGCACAACTCTGAGGTTGCTCATACTTCTGTTTTCCTCTCTGCTTTACAGACAAGGAAATCGGTGCTCAGAGAGGGAGAATGACTCACTCACAGTGTCAGGCTGGGGGCGTGGCTAAGAGACAGATCTGGTCTAGGGTGGCCTCCTGGCTCCTCCACTCAAGCATTAAAAACTGGGGGCTTCAATGATTGTTAAGATTACATGGCAGAGTCCAAATTCAACTGGTGGCTCAGGACCCAGAGCTTTTCCCCAAAGCACAGTTAGGACGCCACCCCACTTGCTGCACAACCCCTGCTTTGGGCTCTGCCTTCAGCCTCCCCCCCGCTACCCTCCCAGGGTGTAGAGCTTGCTCCCTCCCACCAAGGCCTACTGTCAGCTGAAATAACATCCCACAACGTGAGAGTTGTGAGTTCAGTTTTATTTGGGACAAGATGAGGACTACAGCCAGGGAGACAGCATTACAGAGAGCTCCGAGTAGCTGCTCTGAAGAGGCAGGGGGAACTCAGTGTTATATACGAGTTCAGTGAAGGGGGGTACGTGCAGTCAAGCACACATTTTGGCAGAGGCTTGCCGCTGGTCACGAGGAGCAGATGTCACCATTAATGATTTTAGTTCTTTTCTAGATATGAGGAGATGCAAGAATTAGGGCTCATAAAATTCTCCCGAAAATATCTGAAGCCTGTTCTGCCAGTTTTCCCAGAGCACAGAGTGCCTCATTCCTGATCACCTTTCAGGGTGTGTTGAAGGTCAGCGGCTGAAGCAGCTCAGGATTTAATCCTTGTAGAGGCAGAGGTCCTACCCAGGCCTTCACGTAGAAATCTCCCGCCCTACAATTTGGACTATCCAGCAGTGATTTGCAAGCTCCTGTGGGCATCAGAATCACCAGAGGCAAATGGAAGAAAAGAAAAGCACATTCTTGGGCCCACTAGAGGGCATCTGAATCAACAGTGGGGCTGGGAGATTTTAATCCCAGTCCAAAGATTGGGATGGAGATGAGGGGACATTTGCAGCAATTCTGCATTCTGACCACAAGAGGGCGACATAGACCGTATTAAGCCACCCCTCTTTGTGGTCTTACTCCTCCAGACAGGCTGCTGTCATCAAGGACTTACTGGTGAGACAACAGGCTAGGGGGATGAACCGTGTCCCAGTGGGCAAGGGGCTTACACAGAGAAGGAAGCCCAACATCAGGAAAGAGGTTCGCAGCTGGCACTGGGCACCTATGATTCTTTCACAGTTGGACTCCAGAGCTCAGAGAGGCCACGGCCCAGCCTGGAATCCTGATCAGCCTGTCCTGCTCTGAGAGTGTGTGCTGTTTCCCAGACCCTGAGTTCAGAGAGTAACCGTCTGTTACGATGGGAAAGGCAAGACCCAGGCAAGGGCAAGGGCTTAGTGGCAGCTGCTCTGGCTCCCAGCCCACCTAGGGCTCTTTGTCCTGCAAGGGCTAGAGGCAGAGGGTAGACCCCAGGAAGTCCAGCTATGAGTCAGCTCTGAGTGCCCAGGGGATGGGACAGGGGCCGCTGGCTGGGGATAGATGCCAGCCGGTAAGACCCTGCTTCCGCAGCTGTGGGTGGCCTTGGTGATTCAGCTTCCATCTGCCTGCCTAGAGGGGGCCGTCCTGGGCTGGAAGAGAGAGGAGGTGTTACTATTAGGGTGGGGCAAGGGAGTGGCCTTAAGGGGCAAGTGGTCAATTCTAATGGCTGAGGAGGTCCCACTGGATAACTGTGGCCAGAGATTGGGTGTTCCCGAGGCTGGTACTAGGATGAAGTCTAGTGGGGTGGGGGTCCTTGAAGTTGGAGTCTTCTGTGAAGCTAGGGCTTTTTATCAGGCTGCCTCAGAAAGATACCCCAGGGTCTCCCGCCCTGTGTTCCTCTCTGTGGGGGACTTGCCTTGGCTCTCGGTGAGCAGGGGCTTGATCCCCCACCGGTGGGGCGAGAAGGGACAGACAGGCTGACCACTCCAGCTTGGGGGCTCTGCTGATGGAGGGGACGCTAGGCCGATGGAGGAGGAGCTGCGAGCCGGCGGAGCGGAGGCAGGGCAGGACATCCCTC